GCTGAACGTCTGGCACGGCTTCCGCAGCTTCTGATTGGCTGCAGGACGCTTCTGCAGCCAATCAGAAGCTGCACCTTGGTTTTCTAACAGTTCCGGGACTCAAAGAGACTCTCAAAATGCATTCTGTTCAAGAACCAAGGTACTACTGTATATATATTTGGGGACACCAGGCATGTGGAGTAGAACTGTTGTGGACAGTGGGGGTGACTAAAACAAAGCAATCCTCCTGTTAGACTGGGAATATCCCCTCACTCATCCAGTTTAGGATATTCCACCAATCTTTTACAGAGTTTCTTTTCTTTCAGCAAAGTAAGCGGCTCACGTCTAAGTCAAGAGAAGCTTTAATAATAAAGAAAACGGTAACACAGTAACATGCTACTGAGAGAAACAGAAACAACCTCATGAGGCAAGAACGACAGTTGGCCTCTCTAACAGAACTTAATTGAACACGTGAAGGGAGGGGCTGATTCCGGAGCACAACACAAAAGCCCCACCCACCAGATGCCAGACACACTACTAATCCAATTAATCCCCAGTGTTTTTCTTACGAGAACAGACATTGCTGCTTCCCTTAGTGCTTATATAAATCCCACAACCATTTTAATAAGTGAAGTAAGAAAGGGAAACGAAACACACAAATATGCCTACTCAGAGATATTTGTTAGCGATTACATTATAAGAATACTGAACAAATCACAACAGAGAAAACTGCTGAGGAGGAAATGAAAATAAAAATGTTCCCGATCAATGGGACAAAAGCAGAAGCTGCATCCAATTTATTTTTTTATTTTATTTTTTATTTTTTACTTTCAGTTGATCTTCGTTTTCTTCTCTTTCCAGGTCCATAAGACGGCAATCTTTAAATTCTTTGGCGTCAAGTTGTATGACAGCTCAGAACACATTCTGCTCAAAATGTCATAAGCACCATAGATCAGCGATGAAGCATAGAGCCTGCCTCTGGGGAACAAAAAGGTAATTCCCTTGTTTTTCCAATATTCAGCAATTACAGGCTATAAACCTTATGAATACAAATGAGGGCTGACTGTGTGCATGAGAGAGAGAGAAAAATTAGCTACATGATGGTGGGGTTTGCATAACAGTTTTATTAGCATAAATTGAGGGCTATTGGATTATAAATAGGACGTCTTAAACAAGTGCATTAAAAAAAAACTTTCATACAAGATCCTGCAGGGGGAAATGAACACTTTTTTGAAATGTATTTAAATGTTCATTTATTCATTTAAATTGACATTTCTGAAGCAGCTAACCTTTCTAAAGCAGGGCTGTCAATGCAGCCAGAATGCCTTACATCGTACATCTTCCATCAGGTAGCAGCATCCTGACCTAAGACGGATAGCATCATCAACATTTGGGTGGTTGTTAAAGTTTTCTTAAGAGGTGAAAAATGTAGGGGGAAAGCAAGAAGAGGAAAATAAACAGAACGTCAAATACATAGATTAAACAAATGAAACGTGGGTTCCATGTTGCAGGATGGGGCATAAATGTAGAATGGGGGAATCTGTCAATTTCAGTTTCTATTAAATTTCTGCATCAGGGGTGTGTTTGTGTGTGTGTGTGTGTGTGTGAGCGTGTGTGTGTATCTGGAGCATTTTGCACTAAAATGCTGGTGGGTTTTTGTGACGCTTTATAAATCCATCAGTATGTTATTTTCACACACACACACACCAATTTACATATATTCCCATATATCCAGTTTGTTGTTGTTGTTGTTGGGGCACTGGAACACAAAATTCAGAGAGTGAATTTCAAAGGACAACTGGGTTTTTGGTTTGCGCACTGTTTCAGAAATCATGAGTTAAGTGGGTACATAATAAAATGCAAACCAGACAAAATTTGACCCCCTCCCTTTTTCTCTGGTCTCAAGAAGGTGAAGATATAACACCGTTAGCTTTCACTGCCATTCTAAAAACCACAGCAGCTCCACTAAAATTAGCACCACTACTATAGTAAGCAATTGTGATAACAGATGGAACAGACATAAAATTTACACCACTTATACATCAGTGTTCTCCAACTGCGAGACAAGTCTTCAAAATGAGGTATGGGCAATTACTAGGGAGAGCATGGAGTTTCTCCATAGCTCCTCTGAGCCCAATTATTGCAAACTGACCAGAAGCAACCCTTATTCTATGTTCTCCTCGCCACTTTGAAACCTAGAACTTCAACCAAAGATGGCAGTCTTGCCTATCTCCTTCAGGTGAGCAATGACATCATAGTGCTATATTTGAGCAAACCCAAAATGATAGGGTTACTAAACTGCATTCTGGATTATTTTGCCCTTCCATTGTTTCCTTTTGAATGGTCACTTGCTTTTTCCTGCTGCTGTTCAGGCTTACCTCTTATTCTCCCTGCAAACCTATCCAACGGACTGAGAATACACCAGAAACTGAAAGCTGAAAATTAATATAGCTAACCATTGCCTCACATTAAGAACTGGTTAAAATCAAGTGTTTGACCACATCTCCTGCCCAGAAAGAAATAGCTTATGCACCTTTTCCCAAACAAAATCACAGGATTTCGCTCCAAGGCAGCATTCCATGAACATTGTAAACACCATTCCACATTTTAAATAGGCACTGGAATGCCATACTTTACACACTTACACACACGTATAATTCAAAAGTCCTTATTAAAGAAAAATAGACCAAAAACAGAATTTCCAAAAATAATTCAGAGTTACATGGTAGAAAGTAATAATTTCACTAATTAGCATCAATTCAGCACTCACCCATCTCTTGGCCTATTCCTTTTGCATTAAAAACCATCCAAGCCTATTTACAAATATGATATAGAAAACTGACTAGTTTTTCCTTTCAAGAATTGGGGGGAGGGGTGGTGGTTTATATTTGAAAGAGCTTGATTCCCCTCCTCGCTTATTTTACAGGTGGATAATCCACTAATCTAGTCAAAGGTTTCTATTTATTATATTACTTATGGTAATACTTAGAATCAAAATAATGTTCTTTCTTAAGTATTCCCAGCATATGATATCCATTATCTGTAGATGAAGTCTAATTGTGGGTAGTAATCCTATGAGTTTGATTGGCGTTATTTACAGATTAGTGGCTGCATAAGGAGGACACTGACGAGAGAGGCATGTCTAATGACACTCACCCAATGAGCTTATGGCTGGGTTGTCCTTTGAACCACAGACATCCCTTTTCTCTGCTGATTATCTTTGCCACTGCCTCCTCTGCATTAACATCTATGAGCAGCACTTTCTGTCGATCACAGCATTTGACCACTCATGGCCATGTGATACGTGGGATTTAAGACAATTTAAAAGCATGCATGGTGCTGGAGGATACTCTTGAGAGTCCCATGGACTTCAAGAAGATCAAACCTATCCATTCTTAAGGAAATCAGCCCTGAGTGCTCAGATCCTGAAGCTGAGGCTCCAATACTTTGGCCACCTCATGAGAAGAGAAGACTCCTTGGAGAAGACCCTGATGTTGGGAAAGATGGAGGGCACAAAGAGAAGTGGACGACAGAGGACGAGATGGTTGGGCAGTGTTCTCAAAGCTACGAACATGAGTTTGACCAAGCTGCGGGAGGCAGTGGAAGACAGGAGTGCCTGGCGTGCTCTGGCCCATGGGGTCGCGAAGAGTCGGACACGACTAAATGACTAAACAACAAAAAAGCATGCATGAGGGTGGGGTTGATGTCTCACATGACCTAGCCGAGCTTAGGCACCCCTGCTCTCCAGTGCCCACAAGGAAAAGGTCTCTATGGGACTTCCAAAATTTATGCAGGGCTAGCTCACATGACCTCACAGCCACCCCAACATGCTTTTAATTCTTGAGGAGATCAGCTGACCCCCCTAGTGGAACATTATATCAATGCACAGAATTACCCATTCAGAAGAGCTGCTTACCTCATCCCTTTGGTTGCCTGTTTACACTGAATGTATCAAAGCTGAAGTGTGGCATCTTGCTACAAAATCACTTCCAGCCCTAGTCTGAGCAGCTGGAATGGGTTGCAACCAGGCACAGAAGGGCAGAAAGTTGACAGCAACGGGTACCGGAGAAAACGCACAGCTTCCCACAGCCAGAACAATCATCTACTCCTTTCCTCTTATTAATCAGACAGTACTATTGATTTTGTAGAGGGACGCGGGTGGCGCTGTGGGTAAAACCTCAGTGCCTAGGACTTGCTGATCGTATGGTCGGCGGTTCGAATCCCCGTGGCGGGGTGAGCTTTCGGTCCCAGCTCCTGCCCACCTAGCAGTTCGAAAGCACCCCTAAGTGCAAGTAGATAAATAGATACCGCTTTATAGCGGGAACGAAAATGGCGTTTCCGTGTGCTGCGCTGGTGCTGGCTCACCAGAGCAGCTTCGTCACGCTGGCCACGTGACCCGGAAGTGTCTCTGGACAGCGCTGGCCCCGGCCTCTTAAGTGAGATGGGCGCACAACCCTAGAGTCGGACACGACTGGCCTGTACAGGCAGGGGTACCTTTACTTTATTGATTTTGTAACAGGTAGCCACACTGCAGCTGCAGAAGAACAGCACAATATTTTCAGCAGTCTTGCAGGCTTTTAAATATTTCCAGTCTTGCAGGCTTTTAAATATTTCCTCAGGAGTGTGGCATAATTTATTTTAAACATATATATCACTGTTTTTCTCAAAAATAATAGAGCAATATCAATAATACAGCAGCCTGCCTTTCCAAGATCTCTGAAGCTGTGTCAAGCAAAACAGGATTGTTCACAGCAAATTACACACCACTTTTTTGCCAACATAAAACTGGCATCCAGAGCCATGCTCAAGAGCTACTGCTCAAAAAGGGGGGGAAAACCACTTTGTCCTAGCAACCAATGCAAAACTTGAAGAAACCTGCTCCTCAATTAGCCGCACAGCAACCATGCACCCACAACCACACTTTGCAATACAAAGATCCAATAGTTACTTGTTTCCAAGTCTTTGCCAGCCAAAAATGAGTGGGCCTCATCAGTTCTAATGCAATAAATGGTCACACTTACTTTTTCCAGGCAGTCACTGGCCATGTAGTTTGCTATTTCTGACAGCAGCAGCAATAGTTGCCAACAGCAAGGAGTGCTCTAGAGCCTTGGGACACTCTGATTTCATAGTTGTATCACTTCATGGGTGCCTGTTAACATCCCATAAGCACCCATCTAATAGGGGCAACAAATATATGACAATTATGACAACGCTTCCAATCAGGGTGGATAAAAATCAATGATTAAAAATGATAATTAAAAAATAGGTTTTTTTTAATTTTAATCAGATTTTTAAAATAAAATGCTTTTGGAGGAAAAATATTTCCAAAGATAGTTTTCTATTTAAGTTACATTATAGTCCAAAGGCTATTCGTCAGGAAGTAAGGATTTTTTTCATGTGTGCTAAAACTCAAGTTTTCTTTTTAAAAAAAATTTCACCACATCAGTTAACAAACATGCTATAATGTTATTGTTTTAGTTAAATAAATTGTTTAATTGCATTAAGGAAATGATTATTTTTCTCCTTTCAATAAAGTACAGCAGAAAAGTTGTCCAAATATAAACGGTTAATTTATTAAACCTCACAATAATTTCCTAATTATCTGGTTACAGATAGGTAGCCGTGTTGGTCTGCCATAGTCAAAACAAAAAAAATCCTTCCAGTAGCACCTTAAAGACCAACTAAGTTAGTTCTTGGTATGAGCTTTCGTGTGCATGCACACTTCTTCAGATCCAGTGTATCTGAAGAAGTGTGCATGCACACGAAAGCTCATACCAAGAACTAACTTAGTTGGTCTTTAAGGTGCTACTGGAAGGATTTTTTTTCCTAATTATCTGTTCATGTATTTCTAATAGTATATCCAAATCAGTAATTTTTGATATAACTATAAAAACTACTCTGAAAATTTATTATTCCAAAAATGAAGCCTTCATCTGGTTGTAAATATTAAGATTATAACAGCAAGAATGAGTCTTTTTGTAAAAAAAATTTTTAAATCAAGTCTTACTGACTAGTGATTTAAATCAATTTGATTTAAATCAAATCCACCCTGCTTCCAATTTTAAAATTTGGAATAAACACAAGGAGAAGAAATAGACAAGCTTTGGCAATTGTTGTTTCTTCAAGACCTTAAGAAAAAAAATCACAAGGTAGCATTTGCACTAGTTCAATGTAAGCATGTATTTGCAACTGGGTGGCTTTGGCTGTTACACTTCAGCATTCATGAGAAGGCAATGCATCTCTGGGTGTTAGACAAGAAGATGCAGAAGAGATCCTGCCTCTGTATTGCTTCCATCGCCAGCCGAAAATAATTCACTCAGTCACATTGTCAAACTATTCTTGTGAGTTTTGAAAAGGCAGTACTGGAAAGGCTTAAAAACGGTGAGGAGAAGATACAGAATTGTGACGGTGCGTCAGGGTATATACTGAGCATATATCATTATTCACATTGCCTAACACAGACTGGGAAGGAGCCTGAACGTTTTTCTGGACTCCAGCAGGCACGCCTGCAGTTACAGGAAAAAGATAATTATCCTGGACCTGCATAATCCAGACTAGGATCCATTTATCCCTGCTCCCAATGTAGCGAGTCCCCCCATGAAGCCTTGGCAGCCCTCAGCTCATTGAAACAGCCTTCAACGTATCTCCGACCAACTGGCCAGTACAGTCAAGGCCTGAGGCAGCTCCATGTGATTTTTGCTTTCCTCTGCCTACTTTCTCTTACTAACTGATAGATGCAGTGCCTGAGGCAGCTTCAGTTCTTCTTCTGAAGTCTACCTCCTCCTCGCCTCAGAGCCGCAGGTCCTAAGCCTGCCTCCAACAGCCCTTTCCCTTTAATGTTGAGATCCATGATAAGCCAGAGTTAAAATAAAATTCTAGGCAATCCTATTATAGTTGCAAGTATCTCGAGGGGGGAAGGGACAAGTGCAAATTACAGGTCTCCTGAACAGCAAGAAAGCCTTTCTTAACCTTTCTATGAAGAGAGGCTCATTGTGTTTTAATTGCTGCAACCCGTTCTCGGACCTCAGGGTGGAAAAATTACAGTGGTACCTCAGGTTACAGACACTTCAGGTTAACCCAGAAATAGTACCTCGGGTTAAGAACTTTACCTCAGGATGAGAACAGAAATCACACGGTGGTGATTAGCTAAAGTGGTACCTCAGGTTAAGAACAGTTTCAGGTTAAGAACGGACCTCCAGAACGAATTAAGTTCTTAACCTGAGGTACCACTGTATTATTATTAACACTTTTAACCATGGTGGCCGGAAAAAGGTCCCCGTTCTGTGTGGAATTACCTCAGCTGACATACAGACATAGAAGAGTTCGCTCACTGGTTTCAACCCAAAACAGCAAAAAATAAAAGCTGGGCGATGGGCAATTTTATTTGCTCAGCATGTGAGGATGCCTTTTAAAGCCAAACAATTTCTCTCCTTTTTTTTATTTCTCTCCCCCCAGCCCGCTTCAGTCACATATTTTCTCCTCTCTCTCTCTCTCTCTCTGATTTTTTGCCAAGTCAAATGCTTGCCAAAACCTGCACTGGGCTGAACAAGAATGCTTAACGTGGCTTAGTCCTGTAATAAAAAGGAATTAAACTGTATGCTAATAAAGGGGAGGGAGGTTGCTAGGCAACTGCGAACGGGGAGGGGGGTAGAGAAAGCTGCTTTTGTTTTGAACTCTGCCACTGCTGAAGGGTTAAACAAACAAAAACCTGCTCATTTTCTCCCTGATGCTTTAAGTAAAGATGCGGAAATGTTCTACGGTGAAACGCAGGATGGCTAGGCCCCAAGAACAAGGTCCTATTTACATAAAATACCATCCCCAAGGGCGATCAACAAACATGGAGGCTATTTGAATGTCACGGTGGTGGTAAAACACGTTTGACTCTCAGCCTATTCAGACGCCACAGCCTCCACAGGGAGGCTGCCAGAAGTGACATGGAAAAAGCGTAACATCTGAAAACTGCATGCCGCATGGACACCCCATGGCCTCAGGGGGTCCCATGTCTACAGGAGTAACCATCAGCCATACAGGGTCCTGCTCTCCACACGATAAGCCAGTTTCAATCCTGGACCACATCTGTCTGCACTATACATTTAAAGCACTCTAATGCTACTTACAGTGGTACCTCTGGTTACATACTTAATTCGTTCTGGAGGTCCGTTCTTAACCTGAAACTGTTCTTAACCTGAAGCACCACTTTAGCTACTGCACTGCCGCCCTGTGATTTCTGTTCTCATACTGAAGCAAAGTTCTTAACCCGAGGTACTATTTCTGGGTTAGTCTGTAACCTGAAGTATATGTAACCTGAAGTGTATGTAACCCGAGGTACCACTGTACTTATGTGGGTGGCGCTGTGGTCTAAACCACTGAGTCTCTTGGGCTTCCAATCAGAAGTTTGGCGGTTCGAATCCCTGCGATGGAGTGAGCTCCCGTTGCTCAGTCCCAGCTCCTGCCAACCTAGCAGTTTGAAAGCACAACCCCCAAAAAGTTCAAGTAGATAAATAGGTACTGCTCTGGTGGGAGGGTAAACAGTGTTTCCATGTGCTGCTCTGGTTTCTGTGTTATGTTGCGCCAGAAGCAGCTTAGTCATGCTGGCCACATGACCTGGAAAAACTGTCTGCGGACAAACGCCGGCTCCCTCGGCCTGTAAAGCGAGATGAGCACAACCCCAGAGTCATCTGTGACTGGACTTGTCAGGGGTCCTTTACCTTTTTTAAAAATGCTACTTTAAACTTCATGGCTTGCCGCCTAGGAACTGTAATTTGTTAAGGGCGATGAGAGTTGTTAGGAGACCCCTCAACAGAGCTACAGTTCCCAAGGAAGAAGGACTGGCTGTTAAAACCACTCAAGGCACCATAACTCTGTGAGGGGAATGGGGCTCTCTGTACAATTCCCAGCACCCTTAGCAGTTCTTTGGGGGAAGCCATGTCTGATAAAGCAGTAAGATAACGCAGCTCCCGCCCAGAGGCTTACATCTAGAAGACATGGCACAAATGGAAGAAAAAAAGAAATCTTGGACACTATTTCTTGTTTTGAAAATCTTTCAGTGACCAGATTTCAAATTGCTAGTCTTTCAGAAGCTCTGTTCACATGGGCGTAAATTAATGCATGGTAAAATTTGCCTTGTAGGGATGCGGGTGGCGCTGTGGGTAAAAGCCTCAGCACCTAGGGCTTGCCGATTGAAAGGTCGGCGGTTCGAATCCCCGCGGCGGGGTGCGCTCCCGTTGCTCGGTCCCAGCGCCTGCCAACCTAGCAGTTCGAAAGCACCCCCGGGTGCAAGTAGATAAATAGGGACTGCTTACTGGCGGAAGGTAAACGGCGTTTCCGTGTGCAGCTCTGGCTCGCCAGAGCAGCTTCGTCACTCTGGCCACGTGACCCGGAAGTGTCTCCGGACAGCGCTGGCCCCTGGCCTCTTAAGTGAGATGGGCGCACAACCCCAGAGTCTGTCAAGACTGGCCCGTACGGGCAGGGGTACATTTACCTTTACCTTAAAATTTGCCTTAGAATGCAGGGAAATTTTATATTGTATCCAGGCCACCTCTTATTACATGGTCAGTTCTTTGAAGATAACAGTTGTGGGGTGGGGAGAAGAGAGAAGAATGTCTTAAGTCAGAAACAAGAGCTGCAGAGGAAAATGTGATATGCCATGTGGCTTTCTAATCAAGTAACACTTTAATTTTGTCTCCACCCATTATGTGTTTCTATGGCAGGCAATTCTTAAGGATGAAACACCGTACTCAGAAAAACAAACATAAAACAGGAAATTTGACTTCCTTGGTGATCATTCATATGACCCTTATGATGCATGACTAATTCATACATATGAAGAAATCCACATCTCTTCATTATAGTACAAACTAAAGTCTCCTTTCGTCTTCAAAACAGCATCACAAGCTACAGCTGCAAAAATGTAAATTTAAGGGTATAAGAGGTCAGATTTTTGTTGCTTGTTTAAATTAAAATCAAAGTTTCCTTGTATTAATTGTTATTGTGTAGTCATAGTCCTGGTCATTTGATTTCTCACACACTGCATTTTCCACAAATACAGTGGTTGCAATCCTATACCCACTTACCAGGGAGTAGGTCCAATTGAAAACAATGGAACTTAATTATGAGTAGACATATATTGGATCACACTGATTGTACTGAAAGCAATTCACATAAAACCAAGTGA